AAGTACACATCTACGATCATTTCCCATGTTAATGAACTTAAGAGCGTTCTCTTGCAAGCTCCTGGTAAATTTTTGATGAAGTTTAAACCCCGTTTTTTACTAAGGATGTTAACACTTCTAAGTGCATTTTTAATTTCTGCTTTTGCGTTCGGGAATGAATGGCCTTGATTAAGCTTCTGTATGGCGTAGACTCGAGAAGATGACGAACTGTATGTCTGCATCTAACATGCACTTTGCAGAGGCCATTTTGAAAGGCAAAAATGTTTGTTCTGCTGCCATTATGAGGCCGAGTAGATCAGGCAGTAGTGGTAACCAATATCGGGGAGGCACGGGTCCAATCTTTGAGACTGGTTAATTTATTAAACTTAGTTCCCGAGCTATTTATCTGCGTTGGCTCAGTTTTAGTCGACGCGCGAAGATAGGTTCGTGACAAGAAGTGTTGCTATTGTAATTTAATTAAAAATTTATCCAGCCTCCGACAAACGAAAGGGAATGGGAAGAAGTGAGAAACCCTTTTTCCCTTCTTTCGTGCAGAACAGAACATGTTGCATTGGAGGTCTTTTTATTGGTGTAGGGGTAAATGCAGTAAAAGCAAGACTTTCTTTCATTTGCTTGAAAGACTTATATGAAACCTATTTTTACCAACCATGGCCAGCCTCTGACAGAGACTTTACCGCAATGGTGCGGTCCTCTCGCAAGATTCCTCTCAAGATCGCGGCCAGATGCGAAGGTACTGTTTCAAATTTGGGTAGACGGTTTTTCTTGATAAATGAACATTTAATCGTTTGTCTCAAGGTGTAAGAGTCAGGCTAACTACTGCCAGTCTTTGTCAGGTGACGAGGTTGACAGCTTACATTTTGCTGTTTATAGCACCTTACTTTGTTATTTTGGTATTGGTGTGTCACATCGCGCTTTTATTGGTGCATTTCAATCCTCATCGTCATTCTGTCTATTAGATGTTTCTCCCGCATAGTTGGGCTTTGTTTCTGATCGGCTGTTATAGTTTTTAATAGCTTACATTCATGTTTCAGGGATTTCGATTCTTTTATCCCTACTCTCCTTGTAAGTATAAAGCATTGTTTGAGAGGCTTCTTTAACCCTTCCTGTGTGGCAGTGAAAATCACGGTCAATAAACCGAACCTGGTCCTTAACAGGAACGTGTCCTGTTTCAATGTCGTGTTCCGAAACCGCCGAATTCTGAACGCGAGCTAGCTTTCATGGCTTTTTATTCTCTCTTTCATTACAATGAAAGTGGAAAATGTTCAAAACACACATTACATCATAGCTGAGCGAAACAGATGTAGTTTTTGAAATGTTTCGAGAGAGAATATACGCGTGCGAGTCACCCTTGTCAAATCACAGGGAGATTAAATATAAATATGGTGTGTCCCTGCAAATGTTTTGCATTATTTTGTATAATGACCTTCATGCACTTAAACCACCATTTTGCAACCATACGTAGACAACTATACCCGTGGATCCCAGCTAGCAGGGCGGTGTCTTATTAGAGCGAGTTAACGTTAAGAAGGCAGTGAAAGTTTATTCAACCGGCCATGTTAGATTTGGAGTTAGAGTTGACGGAGAAGGGGTGAGGAAGGGCGAAAATAGGTGTAATATTCACCCCCAATCCCTTTCCTAACTTTTTACTGTCTCTTACCCCCTTGGTGAAAATTTCTTTCTCTCCCCAGCTTTCCACTGCCATTAAATTCAGACCTTAAGCTTACCATTAGACCGAATTGCAGCCAAACCTACACGAAATGCTTTCGCGCTAAATGTCGGCAATGACTCAAGAACAAAATTAGTGTAGCGAAAGTTTTTAGCTCAAGCTTTAGCCTTCCTCTTACGGCTTCACTTAGAAAAAACCGCGTTGCTCTTTAATTTTTGAGTTATTCCTCCAATTTGGGGTGATGTTGCCTTGGTTTCACACGTGAGCCTTACAAAATGACATGCGACGACGATTTTCGGCTCTGTCACCCAGCATTAATTAGTACCAGTTAACTGCCTGGGAAAAGTGTGCTCAATTTGTTACATTCGCAGAAATTGCTTAAAAAGGTGATATTTGTTATATGAAGCACACTTCAAGTTTAAAAACGAAACGATCATTCGACATTCTGTGTAAACCGATGTACGTGAGCTGGCAAAAGTAGGATAAGCTCAAAAAGTCGTGGTTTAAAAGTGACCTTGGCAAAAAAATGTTAATTTAAATTTCAAAAGAGTCTTAATTTACTGATTGTACCCTTTGGGAGGTTAGTTTGTCAGTTTTCTTCTAACTCATGCCTAAAGCTATTGAACGTAAGAAGTTTTCCTAAGAATAAATATTACTCCTTAAACTTTGTAAGCTTTTTATTTCTAATTTGTCCACCTGTTCGGTCTGATCGGTCACAATTGTTTTCCTTGAAATTGCTTTTTTCCAGCAAATATGTAGGAAATTGTACTTGAAAGGAATTAAATCATTTAGTTCATGAAAATTTGAACATGTTTTAAAGAAACTTGTATCTTGTTAGAGATAGTTGTTGTTGCCGATAGTTAGTTGTTGTTGTCGTTGTTTTTTTTTTTCATAACTGGACTAACCTTTGTCTTACTGCATATGTCTCACCCACTCAATTCTGGACGGCAAGACAAGATTACATGTTTCCGTGAATATATTTCGAGCATACACTTCCATCACAGATCGAGTCATTTCAGATTTTTTAAGAGAACATTTTTATGCAGGTAAACATTATCACTTATTATTTATGTAGTGTTTTATTGGTTCTAGATGTCCTTAATGCACTGCATTGTTTTCGTCAAAAGCAGATTGAAAATTTATTTATATTCTTTATTCAATATAGTAAAGAGGGGAAATGAAATGCCCTCATCCACAAAAGTACAAACAAAAAAACAAACTATCTCCTCATGCTTTCAAAGTTTATTTTTTCACGGTAATTGTAGGAAGTGGAAAGACTCAAATTCTAGAAATTCTAGTCACCTTTTCAGCTACGATTTCGTTCAAGTTATATCCCTGCTGGAGGAAAAATTGGGAATGCATTCGACTGAACTGGTTTGTCATAATTTTAAGCCTTAAAAGGCTCTTCCGAGATAAAAACTCGAAAGCTTTTCGACAACAAATGTTTTCTTTTGAAATAGCATTTTTTAAAGCCTAAATCACTTACAGAAAAAAAAAAGACGACGCATCCATATCTAGATTAAATTTAAATTGTTAAATAATTTGAGAAAAGTAATAAAAAACCAAGCGTTACTGGCTGATGGTCCACTTTTCAACTTTGGAATATATGTCTTTAGATTATTCGAATCACGTCCCCAACCAATGACCGTAAAACTTGCAATGCATCTTCCATTAAGTGCTTAACTATCCCGAAAACTCATCTGGTTTTGCAAATATTTGTATTTCTCATCACCCCCCTTAAAACTGTATGTTACATTCAGTAATTGGTTACGCTGTATCTGGGAACATGATTTTGACCTTGGCTTTATGCTAGTCAGATCTGCAGACCTTCTCAGCGAAATTGTATCTTTTGCATGTGTAGCTAGAGGGTGAACCTTTCCTTTGCTATTTCCCCATTTGCGCTTCTTGGAACTTTCATTTCGATCTGCGGCAATGGTCGTGAGGTGGGATGAGGGTTCGTACGGCGGAGAACCATATGGAATGAATGAATCACGTGAACACTTGTAAAGCGTTGGATAGGAGATGGATCTTCCAAGAGTCGCTTTATGTCCCTGGTCAACTTTTTCGGCGGTTTCAGGGGAAGCGGATGTTGTCAATATCGAGCGGGTTGTTTTCCCGTTGTGTGCTGATAGCTGTATTGATGCATTATTGCTGAACTCGTTTTTCCTAGAGGATTGAGTCGCGTTAA